ATAATTGAACCATATGATAGGCCCGAAATGACCTCTCTCTCCCCCCCTCTGCCCCGACCCCCCCCCTCTCTCTCTCTCTCTCTCACTCTCTCTCACTCTCTCTCTGCTAAGACCCCTAGGCGGAAGTTAATTCTTGAAATAAAATTGAACCATATGTTAGGCCCGAACTTACCTCTCTTATCCCCCTCTGTCTCGACCCCCTTCTCTCCCTCTCTCTCTCGCTCTCTCTCTCTCTCTCATTGTGCTAAGACCCCTAGGCGGAAGTTAACTCTCTCTCTCTCTCTCTTTCTCTCTCTCTCTCCCTCTGTGCATTGCATTAGTACGTAATGTAAATTTGTCACCGCCACTGAACACTTTAAGACATATAACATTTAAATGAGACGCCATAGTTAAAAGCATCTGGAAGGAAACGGTGGACAATGTTATAGACATATTCCTGTCAATAATTACACAATAATTACAGACTCCACGGTCTGTACTCAACAGGTTTATTATATGTACTACTAAATATATTGAGACATAATTTGGCTATATTAGACTTGTCTGACCTTTGTGTTCTATTTATTCTAGGGGATGGGGTTGGGGTTGAATGGTCAGCGTGTGCGCGCTGCATCAAAAGGTCTGTCATTGCGTCAACTGTCGTGGTTTCGATTCCCTGGTTGTACGTGATAAGGAGTAGGGTCGGCTGTCAAACCTCGTGGGACTTCTCCGGGTCCCCCGGTTTCCTCCCGCAGCTTAAATTGAACCACGTGTTAGTCTCAAAATGACCTAGTTTGTTTCGAGTGGACGTCAAACCCAATATCTCCCTCTCCCTCTGTTCATTCTACTCACGGGGGCATATTGTTAATATACAATAACAATGGAGATTATAAACGCCCATGGGTGACGAATTGCCCAATCTCCGGTCACCGAATTCTCAGAAACCAGTCGTCTGGAGTTAAAGGGTGTGGGCTTAGTCTGCGATATCATATCGGTACAAGCGGATGTAAAATAAACTTATTTCACAGTCAATTCTTGCTTTCAAACTGACATGTCATCTGAAATTTTTTTTGAGGAATATGTCATCTAAACTTTGGAATTTGAGAATCAAATTTGTAATTTGTAAAAGTCATCATTTATTATAATTGACTACAGGAACCAAAAAAGTAAATTACAATTCTGTCACATTCGACAATCTTTGACACTTTCTGCTAATTTATTGATGAAATTAAATTCAAGAAAAAGTCGCTTCTTCGTTTAATGTGCATTTCATTACGTCATTGAGTGACAGATAGTTAATGTGTGTAAATGGCGTGTTAAAAAGAAAGGGTTCCATGAAGTAAGATCGCTAGTGATGACCAATCCTTTTAGATTAGGCTGATTAAAATTAATCACTACAAAAAAAGAGAGAAAAACATGACTGAAGACCAATAGCCATTATCCTTGTTTAAATTTGGATCCACGGCCTTGGTATGAAGGTGGAGCCACGGTAACCCAGGGAGTAAGACGTGGCTCGTTAACCGGGTGAGGTCCCGTGTTCGATCCCTGCCATGGCCGAAGTTTTCTCCCCCCCTTGACAGTGTTGAAGGACTGAGGGCCTGGGGAGGGACAGCGCATAGTCGTTCGGATGGGACGTAAAACCGAGATCCCATGTACACATTGGAGTGCACGTAAAAGAGAGAGAGAGAGAGAAATGGGGTTTAACGTCCACTCGACACAAACTAGGTCATTTCGGGACTAACATATGGTTTAATTTTATTTACATAATTCTTTAGCAGTGGGAGGAAACCGTAGAACCCGGAGAAAGCCCACGAGGTTGGAAGGCGACCCTACTCCTTGCCACGTACAACTGGGGATTCGAAACCACGCCAGTCGACTCAATGACAGATTTTATGATACAGCGCGCGCACGCTAACCATTCAGCCATCCAACCCCCTCTTTCACGTAAAAAAATCCTTGACAGCTGGAATTTGAAATAGCGCACTGTATTGCGGATGCCTGCCTTCTTTAGCCCACTAAAGGCAGGGTTTGATTTAGATTTAGCGGTCAAAATATCTCTCGTAGCAAACTGTGTAACGTTAGTCTTGTTGGTACAGAAGAGCAGACATTTAACCCCGTTTTAATTTATTTCATTTCAATATTTAAATTGGATAAAAATAAGGAAGAGGGTTCGTTAAACAGTAAGGTACCCGATTAAATAATCCCCCCCCCCCAACTAAATAAGAACCCTCACCCCCATCTTCCTAGGTTAGATGTCATCTTAACCTCGATGTTCATATTCTTCAGACAGACAAGGATGGCGATATGTTTTGCTTGACAAGGGATTGGGGTTTTAGCCTGCTTATTTTAATACTGCTGGAACCGCGGTGACTCAGTGACTAACACGTTGGCTCTATGGATTCGTGTTCGAATCCCTGTGTTGACCTAAAAAGTTCATCGTGATTTTCAGCCAGGTTTACTCGTTGTCAGCGATTTAGTACGGATGGAACAAAATCCAGAGGTCCCTCATACACATTGACGTACACGTAAAAGACTCCCAGGCAGTTGGAACTCGATATAACAATAGGTTGTAGCGCCGCTGTCCGGGCACTAGCACACCGTATGACGTATGCCCGTCTTCACTAGCCTAGTTGGAGCAAAACAGTAGGACGTTAAACCTCATTCCATTTCATTTCCTAGCAACGTAAAACAAGTGACTTATCTTAAATGGCCTCATATCCCCTTAAAAGTCTGAAAGCAGCTCGATGTTGCGACTGACATGAGTCGAGAGGTTAATAGTGAGAAGAGGGGAATGACAATTAAAGTAAGTGGCGTGTCAATAAAACGGCATTAAATAAGCCAGTTATTGATGATAGAAAAAATATTTAACAGCATCTCGATTGATCAGTATTAGAAATAAAAGGTTTAAAAGGCTGTGTCTGCGATATCGTTATTTTGGAAGTAGACATTAAACACCAACCAAGAATCAAGCTTAAAGCGATAAAGTCTAATCCCCAGCACCACATTAAAGGGATCAGGGATCCACGATAAAAACAAGTTAAAGGCATCAGGGACAAAAATAAGTTAAAGGGAACATGAATAAACTCCTATCCCCAGCACCATGAATTAAAACAAGTTAAAGTCATTAGGGATAAAATATAGTCCCCAACACCACGATTAAAACAGGTTAAAGGGAACACGAATAAACTCTTATCCCCAGCACCACGATAAAAACAAGTTAAAGGGAACATGAATAAACTCTTATCCCCAGCACCATGAATTAAAATAAGTTAAAGGGATCATGGATAAACTCTTATCCCCAGCACCATGAATTAAAACAAAGTTATAGGGAACGTGGATCATGGATAAACTCTTATCCCCAGCACCATGAATTAAAACAAAGTTATAGGGAACGTGGATCATGGATAAACTCTTATCCCCAGCACCATGAATTAAAACAAAGTTATAGGGAAGGTGGATCATGGATAAACTCTTATCCCCAGTACCATGAATTAAAACAAAGTTAAAGGGAACATGGATCATGGATAAACTCTAATCCTCAGCACCGTGAATTAAAACAAAGTTAAAGGGAACATGTATCATGGATAAACTCTTATCCCCAGCACCATGAATTAAAACAAAGTTAAAGGGAACATGGATAACTCTTATCCCCAGCACTATCAATTAAAACGAGTTAAGATCAGCCGAATCGGTGATATAGACTTGTAAAATCATATAGATTCTTTTTAAACCACGAACCACAATGATGTTTTCAAACCGCGAATCACAAAGATTTTTTCAAACTACGAATCACAAAATTGTTTTCAAACCACGAATCACAAATATTTTTTCAAACCGCGAATCACAAAAAATGTTTTCAAACCACGAATCACAAAGAATTTTTCAAACCACGAACCATGAAGATTCGAGTCGGGGGTATTTTTGTCTTGAGGTTGGTGCGTCGACCAAACGATAGCCAAGGGCCTGAATTGATAAGTGAATGATTTCTTCAATGTTCGAAAACGAGTAGACTATAGTTTTATTTTGAATTACATTATTTTCTTATCCGCATTCTCAAGGGGTGCAATTGACAATGTAGCTCGTTGCATTGATGGGACGAAAACCGAGGTCAACGTCCATGTAAAAGACACGTTTGAAATTGGAATTGAAAGAAACGTAAGTGGGAAAGCGTTACCATAGAGATGAAAATACCATATTAATGTTAGTCTTAAGAGAACAGAAATATTACATTATTATTGCAAGTATCAATACCGCTTCTTTTAATTTCTACTGTCCGTACCTTTGAAGCCTGATCGGAAGATGGGAACACGTGATCTTTGGGACGCGCCATATATCAACAGCCGTAAAGTGAAAGTAGAATATAAAGTAACTATTGCATATTTAGGTTTTAGCATAATTTGTTTTTGTTTGTTTTGTTTGTTTCTGCCCCCACACCCTCGCCTTACCCCTTTTGATAACTTCGCTTTCTTTCTACAGTCATTCCGACATATTTTCACTGCAGATCTCACATCTGTAGAAAGGAGGTGAAACGGTGTTACCAGTATATTAAATTTACGGTAAAATAAAAAACGTGGATTCCATTCGTTATAATGAAGATGCTGTAGTTTCGACACCTGGTCTCCAAAATATGAAGGAGGATAGCACGCAGTTCACATGCAATAACGCTGCACAAACCTGGTGTGACAAACTATCAGTAGATAGGATTTTTATTTTACGTCGAATCACTGAAGAACAGAAGGATGGCATGTGACATCACAATATTGGTGTTCTTAGAACCATGCTAACCGACAATAAAAACAACACAGTGCTCTCAGAACCCAGCTAACCGACAATACCCCTCCCCCCACACCACATACACACACAGCAGCACAGCAACATGCGATGTTCTAGAACTTAGCTAACCGACAATAAACACACAACGGCAACATGAGTGTTTTAGAAAACAAGCTAACCAACAATAAACACAACACAGCAACATGGTTGTTATAACCGATGTTTACAAATTGTTTTATGTTTTTCAGACAAAATATATGAGACGGTGATTATTATTGGGAGTATATTTGGAGCGTCTGTTGTTTTAACAAGTTGTATTGTAACCATATATTGTTATCTACAGTAAGTATATTGTTACACCCCTTGTGGAGCAGGACAGCTGTTTAGTCGTTCGGATGGGACGAAAAGCCGAGGTCCTGTGTATACATTGGCGTGCAGGTAAAAGATCCCTTGGCAGATGGAAGTCGATATAAGAGTAGGTCATAGTGCCGCTGTCTGGGCAAAATTTTCATCATAGCACACAGCAATGCGTATGCCCGTCTTCATTAGCCTAGTCGGAGCAGAACCGTAGGACTTTAAACCCTATTTTATTTCATTTCATTTTTATATTACTACAAAACCATGGCCCTTTATTAAACAGTATATTTATTTGGGAAAATTGACGGCAGAGGAATTTAAATTGAGAGGAATGGTATAAATAAGATTTTTTTTTTATGGAACGTCAGCACAAACTGGGCAAACTAAAATAGCAACAACAATACATTTATATACATGAACCATAGCCTTTTTTAAGAACATAATAGTAGCTAATAATCTACTTTCATTTTTTTTTCTTATAAAGCGGAAGACGTAAAAATTATTTATTTAAAAACATACGTGATATTTTTTCTCATTTTATATTTTTCAGTCGACGACCAAGAGATAAAAACGAAATGTCTGAAATATTCCAAATAGAAGATGAAGACAGAGCAGCATTTCATGCGTACCACGTCATTGATCCCGCTTGCGTCACAAACTCAGACACGGACAGTAAAGAATTTGTGACATCACGTGACTTTTCAACTCAATTCATGAATAGCGTTGATATAGAATATTCACAAATAGATGCCACTGATGTCGCTAGTGAAAATATTTACGCTACCCCACATAGAATCATAGATCTTGATAAACTAAGACAGAATGACCAGTTTTTAACCACGGACAATGATTACTTCGATCTGGAAACTGACACGACCCAATCAAATACTAATGACGTCATTAGTGGCTACGTCAGTGACGATGGGTATAGTCATTTAAACCGGCACCATATTGTATCTAGAACCGGAAATGACTATGACTCTATAACACTCGGTGAATTAAAGAGCACTGATTTATAAAGTGAAAGTAGTGGCTGTTTTATTGGACGTACTAACTGGGTTGAACTTGATTTAATCGCCTGAAGCCAAAATAATATTATCATGTAGTCCGTTATTGCTAATAAATATCAACTACAACCTTTTCTTCAAGTGACAATATGCTAATGGCAATCGAAATATCTTTAATCACGTATATGTAACAGTCATTTACTCGTTGTTGTCAAATATGAAACCTTCATATTTTGAAATTCAGGGTTGTTTTTAAGTTAAATCGAGTACCTGATTAATTTTGTTAAAGGAAATCAAGGGTGGGAATTAATTTATCGACGCCATGTTTATGCTACAGTATCATGTATCATAAGCTAATGGCAGTATCATGTATCATAAGGTAATGGCAGTATCATGTATCATAAGCTAATGGCAGACTAATGGCAGTGTCATGTATCATAAGCTAATGACAGTACCATGTATCATAAGCTAATGGCAGTATCGTGTATCATAAGCTAATGACAGTATCATGTATCATAAGCTAATGACAGTATCATGTATCATAAGCTAATGGCAGTCTAATGGCAGTATCATGTATCATAAGCTAATGACAGTATCGTGTATCATAAGCTAATGGCAGTATCATGTATCATAAGCTAATGACAGTGGGAACGTCTTTAATCATACTAAAGATGTATTATGTCAGGAATAAATTTGCCTATTATCGGGATCCATTGACTTCAAATGTTCTATAAATCATTATTCAGACAGTCATCAACATAAGCTTAGACCAGTCATTAATCTTTATTCATACTATTATATATACATTGAGGAACTGACATTTAGAACCTTATTATCGTATGCTAACCCATAGATACCCTTATTCAGTTCACAATATTAGATGTTAACCCATAGATATGATTATCCCGTTGACAATATTAGATGTTAACCCATAGATATGATTATCCAGTTGACAATATTAGATGTTAACCCATAGATATGATTATCCAGTTGATAATATTAGATGTTTACTCACAGATATGATTATCAAGTTGACAATATTAGATCCTAACCAATTATCACGTTGACTATATTGGATGGTAACCCATAGATATGATTATCCAGTTGACAGCAGTGGATGCTAACCAATAGATACGATTGTCCAGCTGACGAAGACGACCAAATAAAAGAATAGTAAGAGCACTATAGAAATAGATCCAGTTCATCCAAGCTATCATCATCAACATCTGGGACGTCATCATCAAACCATGGCCAAATGTTGGGCAAAGTAGTATCGTCATCCTGCCTATATTTATCCTGCCAATATTCATCCGAGCTATCATCATCAAACCTTGGCGTGAATTTGGGAAGGGCTTTCAAAATATCTAGTGCCTTTTGATATGTTCCATTATTGAAGATACTGTGATATAAATCTTCAAGGTCATCGAATTTAAAACGAACAACTGTTTCATAATTATCACCCTGACTATCATTGGAATATTCACGATCTTTATAATCACCATCTTCATTATCATCTTTACCTAATTCATCATCTGCATCACCATCATCGAATATAAAACGATCAAAAGTTTCATGATTTTCACCCTTACTATCATCGGAATAATCATCATCTTCATCATCGTAATCATCATCGTCATCACCATCTTCTTCATCATCACCTTCTTCATCATCACCACCTTCTTCGTCATCAACTTCTTCCTTATCACCTATATCATCACTTTCATCGCATATAGGATAAGCAAAAGTAAAATGATTTTTATCCTCGTAATGATCGAAATCATCATCATCATCATCTTCTTCCTCCTCTTCCTTGTTATCACCTAGTCTAACATCATCATCACCCCTGTTATCTTCCCCCTCCTTGTTATCATCTAGTCTAACATCATCATCACCCCTGTTATCTTCTTCTTCTTCACCCCCGTCTAATCTAACATCATCATCATCATCCTTGTTGTCATCTACTGTAACATATTTGTCATCATCATCGTCATCGTTTATAACAAGGGTAAAATATTTCTCGGGAATCAAGTCCTTCATGATGACATAATCTTGTAGGCATTGTGGTAAACCTATTTGAGTTATTTTGCTTCTGATTCCTGATCCGATATAGTTTCTGATTTCTCTTCTACATCTTGACTGCAAACTTCTCGATTTCCAGAAATTACGGAAATCATCCAGCACCGGATTATATGGGGATTGCGAATTTGAAAAGGAACGCATTAGAACTGTTTCTATTTCTCGTTTTGGTGCACCACTTTCGAAAAGAATTTTGGAAAGTTTCAGGGTATCTGTAAATTGTAATTTATTTATGACCCTTGGAAGATTCATACCAGTGATAGAACAATTTTCTGTAACAAGATGCCATATAAGATCTGCTTTGTCTGTGTCCAGTAAGCATGTAAATAAAGTTAATCCATTTACTGGAGTATCCAGAGACACGTGAAATTTCCTAATCAAAAGTAATTTTAGACAGTATATGCAATTTTCAAGATAAGCATCATATACCCGGTGTAGAGCTGATCTTACATGTGTGTCCAACTCATGAGTATCAAGCAATACGGTGTTCATAGCTGATCTTCCCCAAAGAGGACCACACATTACGTCGTGTATAGCTGATCTTCCATTTATATCAGTTTTATTAACATCAGCCCCGGCCTTAAGTAAAGATCCTAAAATATGTCTGTCACGGTTTTTTGCTGCTACTATCAATGCTGTCCTTCCATCGTTATCACTCAGGTTAACATCAGCCCCGGCCTCTAGCAAACATTCTAAACCAGATCTATTACATGCTCGTGCTACTTCCATCAAAGCCGTCCTTCCATTGTTATCACTCAGGTTAACAGCAGCTCCAGCATCTACCAAACATTGTAAACCAGATCTAGTACATGCTCGTGCTGCTTCCATCAAGGCCGTCCTTCCATTGTTATCACTTAAATTAACGTCAGCTCCAAACTTCAGCAAAATCTCAGTAATTGATCGAATGGTTCGTTCATTTATGTAGAACCTTGCCGATTTTCTAATTTTGAATACCGGTATAGAATTGTCACTAGTATAGGAATTAGTTTCAATGCCCTCGTTTTTCTTTTTAACGGCAATCGTAGCAATAGCTTTGTGTAAGGCTGTCTGCCCTTGAAGATTCTGGTGATTTATATCACCATCCTTTGATGCCAGCAATGTCACCAATTGTATGTTATTGTTTTTGGCGGCAAGAGCAAGGGGTTTATCTCCACATCTATCACAGCTGTGTCTGGTCGATTTGATATTAAGTAATGACTTCACCATATCTACGTTATTGTACTGAACCGCTTGATACAGCGGAGTTATGTTCTGTGAATTGGGTTTGTTTATGTTCATACCTTCCTTTATTAATAGTTGAAGACATTCATCGTACGAATCTGACGCCCTTTTACTCTGTGCAAGATAATGAAGCAGTGTATTTTTTCCAAGATGTGCTCCCTTTTGTGCCAAATATAAGACCGTTGTCACCATACCATATACAGCAGCCAGTTGGACGGGTGTTTTACCGTCATTGTCTTCTAGATTAAGGTCCGCCCCTGCCTCTACCAATAATTTGACACACTTCAGAACTTTTTCCGGCTTCTTTTGAACAAAATTTCTACCACGAATACAACAGTGTAGGGCAGAAATTTCAGGAGGCTTTAATTGTTGATTAATGGTATCTATTTGTTTACAATTGGTACCTTTGATATTTGGTTCAAGGCCGGATGGCAATAATGTTTTATTAGTGTCCAGATCTTTATGTTCAAGAATATATTTTAACACTTCGTGCTTATTGTTTTCAACACACTCATTGATGCAATCTTTATCAAGACGCCCGCCTTTAGAGTGGATGAATTGCACACCCTCCACGAAATCAGATCTTATTGCAGTCTTCATCAGGCGTTTATCGTTTGCATCAAGGTAGTTAGAAATGCCATCTTGGGATAGCAACAATTTTAACATTGGTAGAAACCTGTTCTCTAGGGCAATTTCACAACATTCTATCATACTATAAGACATAATGTACCGTCGACTTTTTTGGTTATTCCATAATGTTACACACTCTTGTAAAATTATTTCTGCAGATGTGACATTTTTATTTACATACGCGCGTAACCTGAAATAATAAATAAACACGATTAATACTAAAGATATGTTGCAATCATGAAATTTAAATCTAAAAAAACCTCAAAGGTCCACTCTAGTTGGCATCCATAGAGCAACATCAGCTCAGCCTAATAGTCCGATAGGGTTTGTAGAAATCGTGGAATAAGCTTTATTTTGAAGGTTTTGATGTTTAACGATAAAAAATCAATGTTGACATTTTTTCTGAGTAGGTCTTCATAGTATCGGAGGCCATTATTTGAGGTTAGCCATTTTGGGATAATATTCAACTTATTTTTAATTCTTTTTACCCTATTTATAATGTTATCGACATATCAAATGTGATTTGACAATGTATTAATATTGCAAGGGTTCGTGACAATATTTCAGATTTTTTTCGATCACTTCATGAAGAGATTTCCAAGATGGCGGCCATTTTTGGCGGGAAAATCGGACGATGTGCTTATTTCGATTAAGTAGTAGTGTATGGTGTCAATAAATATGTTTTCAGGGGCACAGATTTAATTTCTGCCAGTTACAAATATGCAAAATGAACACATGTAGACCTATATTGCATATTTCCAAGATGGCGGTCATGTTTTGGCGGGGAAAATGGGACGATGTGCTGATATTGATTAAGTAGTCGTCTTTGGTGTAAATATATCTGTTCTCGGGTCGCAGATTTCTATTTCTGCCGTTTGCAACTGAGTAATATGATAACATGTTCACATATTTAGCATATTTCTAATTTGGCTGCCATTTGTGGCGGGAAAATAGGACGATGTGCTGATTTTGATTAAGTAGTAGTGTTTTGTGTCAATATGTTTTCTGGGCGCAGATTCGATTTCTGCCATTAACAGCTGCGTGAAATGATGGTATGTTCACTCCTTCCGCATATTTCCAAGATGGCTGCAAGGTGTTTGTGGCAGGTTGTTTTCTAAGCACATTACTGGAACGGTTTCTGAATCTAATTCTCCTATGTATAAGCTTGCAGCACGTTCCTGGAAGCCATTGCCATGTTTTGCCCATTAGGTAGCTCATCCGACTTGACCACTGAGCTAATATCGATTTTCCAGGGAAAAGGTGCATTTACTTGGTCGATCAGCCTGCTTTTAAGACTGTCAAAATTAACGATGGTTAAAAATGTGAGACTTACAACTTTGAAAAGGTAATTAATAAATTAAAAAGTAGAACAGAAATGTATACAAAGAAATAAAAACAAGGACTGCAAATGAAATAGTAACACTTGCTATAAAAAAATCGTGACATAGATTATATTAACAACTTACATAAAGCTGCGTGTGGAAGGGGGCGTCCAAATGAAAGCTGTTGCAAACAAACACCAATTAAACGACGACGTGACCCGTCATCTATGACATCACTGCCATTAACATTGAAAGAACTGGTGGCAGTGATGTAAAAGTAGCTGGCCACGTCGTTGTGTAAGTAGCGAATACGTTATGTTTCAAACGCAACATCATTCCACATGCTCGTTCCACATTCAGCTTGGAAGTCTGAGTTGATAACATAATCTATGTCACGAGGGCTTCTTAGCACGTAATCATTTACAGTCACGTCCCCACCACCTTCAACCACGTTGGTGCCAGGCTGTAACGAAGTTCCTAGCCACATGCTTGCTACGCTGTTATGAGCTTTTTGTATATATAGGGAAGGCACCGAGCCTCGCCCATCCGTTCCAGTCTAGCATCCTAAGAGGAAACATCGATAAACTAAAAAAAGTTCTTGATTACTTGACGTTTGGTTGTTCTCGGCTTTGAACGTGAATGAGGGCGGAGTGAGCATGGTGCGGTCACTATAGGCGCGGCGAAAAGGCACGTCACAGGAGTGTGGTGAGAACGTATCCCAGTTTGACTGCTAACCGCGAGAGCATGGTGGGAACACGGTGCACGTAGCCAGAGCTAGGCCATGAGCCTATTAAGATCTTGAGCGCGCTGGGCGTAGAAAGCGCTTGGTGTGGTCGTGGCAAGAGCATGATGGGCTCGTGTCAATGTGGCGCAAGCTCCACGCTGCCGTTACGCTCTCTTCAGCTCAGTGGTCATCTCGAATCAGTAATTTCCATCGTTGGATAATATACCAAATGGGTCCGACACGGTACCGGCTTCCAGGTACAAGCTACCGAATCTGCACCACCGAAAACATATATATTGACACCAAAGACAACTACTTAAACAAAATCAGCAAATCGTCCGATTTTTCCACCACAAGTGGCAGCAGCAATATTTGCAATATGCTAAATAACGTGATTATGTGATCTTTTTACAAAGTTGTAAATGTCAGAAATGAATTCTGCGCCCCGGTAAACATATATATCGACACCAAACACTACTACTTAATCAAAATCTGGACATGTCACAATTCCCAACAAACATGGCTGCCATCTTGGAAATCTGCTAAGTATTTGACAATGTGATCAATTTACAAGGTTGTAAATGTCAGAAATGGAGTCTACAACCCCGAAAACATATATATTGACACCGAACACTACTACTTAATCAAAATCTTCACATTGTCCCATTTTCCCGCCAAAAATGGCAGCCATCTTGGAAATATGCTAATTATGTGAACATGTGATCATTTTACAAGTTTGTAAATGTCAGAAATAGAATCTGCGATCCCGAAAACATATATATTGACACCAAACACTACTCTTAAACAAAATCTTCACATCGTCCCCTTTTTTCACTAAAACTGGCCGCCATCTTGGAAATATATTCATGAAGTGATGGGAACAAATCTTAAATATAGTCATGATGCCTGTGAATACTAATACAGTACCAAATCACAGTTGATATGTTGATAACATTATAAATAGGGTCAAAATAAAAAAAAAAGAATAAGTTGGAATATTATCGAAAATGGCTACCCTCAGATAATGGCCTCCCATACCATAAAGACCTACTCAGAAAAAATGTCAACATTGTTTTTTTGTCATTAAACATCGAAACCTTCCAAATAAAGCTAATTCCAAGATTTCTACCCGAAAAGCCGACGGATTTCCATTAAGGATCGGACTATAAGAGGTAGAGTGGATATATCATCATGAACGGTTCCTAGAGGGACATACCATCTAGCGCCGGCTTGGGGAGACTATATTAATATTAGTATTATTGCTGTGTTTTAGGATTCATGCCTTTATGTATATTATCACAGCTGCCATATAATTACATAGTAAGAAGACCACTATGCAATTAGTGAAATAAAGAAGTATGAAATGAAATGGGGTTTAACGTCCTACTGTTTTGCTCCGAACTGGGCCAATGAAGACGGGTATAAGCCATACAATATGCACTATGAGGGAAGTTTTGCCAGGATAGCGCCACTACGGCCTACTCTTATATCGAATTCCAACTATCAAGGGTTCTGTTACGTGCACGCCTATGTGTACACGGGATCTAGGTTTTTCGTCCCATCCGAAGGACCAGACAGCTGTCCTTGTCAGGCCATCCGTCCTGCATCTCTGATAAGGTGAACCATGCTGGAAAATCTGACTGAGCTTTCTCGGTCAATACAGGGGTCGAACACCCAACCCCCAGGCTAGCGAGCAAGCGTCTTACCCACTTAGCCACCGTAATTCCCTTAAAAAGTATGTGAAGACTTTGTGATTGTGATATAGGTAATCCAGAGCCGGTTATCATCTCTTTCTATGGGACACAGATATGAAACAGTTAACGATAAAACGATTCTTCTGTACTTTATTATCACAGAATTGATTTTACCGTGAAAACTACATTAAAACATAAAACATCGTTTACATACATGTAAACAAACATGAAAACAAGGATAAACACACCAAGCTGACATTACATTTACGCGATGTATAGTGTCTGTAGACAGTCAGTACGATTTCAAAATCAGAGAGGCACTTTAATCAAATCCTTCTAGAAAACGACTTACTAAATGGATCAAAGCATTTTTTTTGTGAACAGTATGTTGACACATTAGTGATTAATTCATCACAATTCCAAGACATTACAAGAAGGTTTAGAGTATAACACAGTCTATACATCTGTATCTGGTGTGTCCACCGCGAGTGTCAATAACAGCAGCGCAACGTCTGTACATGAAGTGGACCAGACGATTGATGAGAGAGAGAGGGAGAGAGAGAAATAGGGTTTAACGTCCACGCGATACAAACTAGTTCATTTCGGGACTAACACATGGTTCAATTTTATTTCAATAATTCGCTTGCGCGTAGGGGTCTTTAGCAGTGGGAGGAAACCAGAGGACCTGGAGAAAACCCACGAGGTTGGACAGGCGACACGATTGATGAACGCCATTGACACCTGGAACCACACTCCCAGAAAAGCCTGTCGCAATCCATCGGCTGTGTTTGGTCTCGGCACGACGTTAGTAAGTCACCTTTGATTTTCATCCCAAAGATGTTCAATCGGGTTTAAGTTCGGACTAAGGGCTGACCAGTGCATAACGTTGACAATGTTCTGCTGTAGAAAGTTCCGAGTAACTCTGGTGGTGTGGGCGCGGGCTTTGTCATGCTGGGAAACGTTGTTTCGATGACGTGCGAAATGTGGTATGACGTGGGGTCTGAGAGCTTGATCCATGTAGCACTCTGCTGTGATGCCACCTCCTCTCCCTGGGCCAAATGTTGGAACACCACAGGACCCACTCTCTGGTTCAGGTCGATTTCACCCCAAACCATTATGCTTGGACCTCCCCATGAGTCTCGTTCCATGACACATTGGTCAGAATAACGCTGGCCACGTCGACGCCATATTCTGGTCCTGCCATCTGCTTTTGATACGCAATACCGACTTTCATCTGTGAACAGAATAGTTCTCCATTGGCTGTGTCGTCAGTTCTGGTGTTGTTGGGCAAACTGTAGCATTCACGTCGATGGCGAGGGGTGAGGATCGGTCCACGGTAAGGTCTACGGCAATGGATGTTTTCTCTGGTGAGACGCAGGCGCACTGTATCGCTACTGATTGGTCTTCCGCGTGTTCCTACTGCCTGACGGCAATTACATTTTCTGAATAGTCGAAGGAATGCCTATAAAATAGTGAAAAATTAACATTAACGGCTTGAAAATAAACACAATAGAATGTGGTTTTGAGAATTTGTCTCCAATTTCCGAAGTAAATACATTACTGGATAGCCTGGTCGAATTTCGAATTTAGGGATTTTAAAAATTTGAAAATTTCGAATTTCCACTTTGACGTTTTTCGTGCCGACAAAGTTGTTTACAAGACATCCCTTTTTTAAAATCCTTCTCAGAATCTAATCCTGGGATCTTTCTGAAACTTTGACCAATCGCCCATAATCGATGGTGGCTTTAGAATAAAGCTATTTTTAAAAACCTTTTACGAATCCAAAATCACCGAATTTTACTGACAAAGAATTATTTGACCTATTCATTACGTCTCATCCCGGAAGTAAAAACAAATTTGACAACTTCTTTAATATTAGAAAGATTTTCATGACATATGGACTGAAAGTACATCTGATTGATTTAATTTGAAGGATGTCATAAGAAATTATCTAACTTATCTCCCATTGGAGAAATTAAGAATCAGCTTTTCTAAAAAATCAAACAATTTGCTTTCTGTACTATATGCTAAGAAGCTACTGAAGCGTACACGAAATATGAAGTTTGTCGAGCGAACTGGAACTGCCACCATCTTAAAACGTGGAAAACCCCTAAAGCTTTCTCGATATGTTACTTACAGAGATCAGAATTACATTTTCTGAATCCTTGTAGAAATGCATTAAAAACTATCGGAGCAGAATTTTTATTTCGGTCGACATATGGACGCCATTTTGAACTGAATATGAAAAATAGTGAAAAATCTACATTGCGGACTTGAGAATAAGCACAATAGGCCGTGGTTTGGAGAATGCGTCACCTATTTCCGAATTTAATAAATTCTGGACAGCCTGGCTCAAGCTCGAATATTTGGTATTTGAAAATTTTAAACCCCAGCTGACCGTATAATACAGTCATCACGTGACATCCATGAACTCAAACGTCCCCCACCCCACCGCACCAACCTATAATCAGATATCCAATACTAAGATGCACTTTAACAATTAATGACCCCTAACTGTGTTATAGAAGTCAAACGAGTTCAACCTCATGATAAAAACGTATTCAATATAATATTACCTATACATCTATTATTCATAATCCATTGCCCAGAGAACAATGCCTATTCAATTTATAAAATAGAACAAAGGCATCAACTCAGATTAGTACATATTAATGTGGAAGTCATCGTATTAATACTACTGTGGTCATAGATGTACGGGTTCGATGACAGTTAGCGGGGCAGAACACGAAATGCCTGAAAAAAGTTCGGGTTAAAAGCAACGATGCCGGGCTTCTGTGAGAGCGGGGCTAAGGGGTGGATCCAGGATTTTCAGAAAGGGGGGGGCTGCTGCCCCCACTTGGGAGTGCGAAGCAGCATGGCCCTCGGTGGGCGGACTGACGGGCAATCAACGACGGAGATCACTACATTTTAAGGATTTTTGTTCTCCTTTCCCGCGAGAATATATGGGGCAAACAATTGTTCGCCAACGCAAAAAATACCGTGTAGGGACCCCCAAGCATTTCTTGCTATTATAGCCTGTGAATACAACAACTTTAAAGTGGTCTAATAAAGCCTAATTGAGATGGCTGACTGGAATTCCAATCAACTTATCAATCGTTTACAGTGACGGAGACGGTACCGTCGGGAGAAAGTTTTGAATATTTAACTGCCCCAAACGTGTTTTTCTGCTATTCCTGCAACTTCGGCGTGGTCCAATATAGCCTACCCTATAGGTGGCCGACCTGAATCCCAAACAACCAATCAATCGTCGTGGAGTATGGGGCCTCGCCCTCCGGAGAAAAGTTTGAAAATCTAACCGCGGCAAATGCGTTTTTCTGCTATTCTAGTAAGTGAGTAATCAACTCTAAAGTCGCCCAATGGTTTTGTAACCGAAATCCCACTCTATGCCGACCTGAATTCCAACCGACTGTTGCAGCTGCATTCATAATTAATAATCTATGCCCGAAAAATGTCGCACAAAGTAGAGTGGCCCCAGGCAAAATGTTTTAATCCATAAACAATTCAGTTTTGTGGTATTCAATTAAACTAAAAGTAAAATTAGTGTTTTATTAGATTAGATGAAATATTTTTTTTTCACTTAACCCGTCAGATTGCCCGAAAGTTAAGGGGGCAGTTCTGGTGTTGTTGGGTAAACTGTAGACGTCCATGTCGATGGCGAGGGGTAGGGATCGGTCCAAGGTAAGATCTACGGCAATGGATGTTCTCTCTGTATCGGTACTGATGGGTATTCCGTGTACTCCCACTGTCTCAGATGCCTGTGTGAAGGGATTCTGCACGTGCTGTCACACAACATGGCGGTCTTCTCGTCACCTTGTGGTAACCCTTGGTCTACCAGTTCGGGGGCGATCATCCGTGGTGTTGGTGGCCCGAAAGCGTTGCTGAAGCCTGTAGATGGTCCGAACATTGACCTGGAAGTGATTGGCAACGGCTTGGGCAGTGTGGCCAGCGTCGAGCCTTCCAAGCGCCTGGTTCCTCTGAGCTGTCGTGAGTCGTGGCATGCTGCTGACGTTGTAGCGTGAATGATTTAACCAGGTATGGGGGTGCATGTTATAGAGCTGGTCCCGATGAACAGCACGTGCAGCATGAGTTACATAAAAATCATGGAGAACACATTACCATCTCAGAAGTCAGGTTGCGTTTTTGAGAACATTTCCTTGGTTCAATGCTGTGTTTGGGAAGGAGTCTTATTGCTCAGGTAAAGTTGGAGATGTGGTCACGAATATACAATAAAAACATTTGGCAAGTTCTATGCAATTCTTCTATTCAGAGTAACACACCAACCTAACGTTTCTTTTGCTACTTTGTATATAAAAGGGACATGTATAAAGTTGTAGATATAGTATACGTGTGTAACATAAAAGCTGTATACTTCTTACTGATCTATAATAGCTTTTTGTATAAAGTTATTGATATAATGTCACATCATTATATATATATAATATCTACGTGTATAATAGAATAGCTTTAACTTATAAACTGGGGGTCACGGTGGCTCACTAGACTGGAGGTCGGGTGTTCGATCCCTGTATTGGCCGAGAAACTTCATCCAGATTTTCCGGCGTAGTTCTCCCTTGTCAGTGATGCAGGACGGAGGGCCTGACAAGGACAGCTGTCTAGTCTTTCGGGTGGGACGAAAACCGAGATCTTGTGTACACATTGGCGTGCACGTAAAAGATCCCTTGACAGTTGGAATTCCATAGAAGAGTAGGCCGTGTAGTGCCGCTGTCCGGACAAAATTTCCGTAGGACGTTAAACCCCATTTCTTTTCATTTCATTTAACCTACTTACTTTTGTCGGAGCCGGTGTATCACATTAGGATCCATTGCACACAGATTATCTTCAAACAAGCAGGCGATGTGAATTTTTCAAAATATTCAATGATAAAATAGTTAGTGGCATATTGTTCACATCAAATCTTGTTTAGTGCGCCACTTAGCAACTACTAAAGTAGGTCTTCTAATTTCTAAGAAACACGTCAATATTCTTAGAATATAAAGTGAAAGTAAAAATACAATCTTGACTGGGGTAAGACTACTAATTATTTTCCCACCCCAATGTTAATTTCATGTTTAGTACATCACTTAGTAAAGAACGTATCATTAGACTTGTATAACCTTACACACTCAAATTGAATAAATTCTATTCATAAGTAAAGTATGTCTTCTAATTTCTAAGAAACGCGTCGATATGCTTAGAATATAAAGTGAAAGTAAAAGTATTGACTGGGGTAAGACTACTAACTATTTTCCCACGTCAATGTTTATTTTATGGCATATCTGTTTAAAGCATTCCGTTTATTCTATAAACTTGTTGAAATATGATTTTCCATATGGACTTAATAGTTAGTTCAGCGCCTGCATACCTCGATCCTTACTCCTTGAACTGGAAAAGCATTCAAACGCTTTCAATAAATTTGTGGACCAAATAATAAAGAAAGAAGATCGACCCACGCCTAGAAATGGTTTCCAGTCACCTTCGTCAAGGTTCACTGATGATTCCGGTGACACACGAACTCTGCACTAGAAGAGAGAGAGAGAGAGAGAGAGAGAGAGATGGGGAGAGGATGGACAGTTAACCCGGAGTAAAACTGAGTGGAAAAATAGCTACTCCAACTATTCTAATTTCATGCCGGGATAAGCGCACAATTAAATACACATTGTTACAAAATATATATCTGCTTGATATTATAGTATGATCCATATAATTCAAATAATTTGGGGAGTCGAACGATCATCAAAGCCGAATAAAACTTTTAAGATTATAATGTTTTATTAATGGTGATATCAATTATAATATAGTAAATTATAGACACTGGAAATGAAAGGTTAACACAATGCCGCTTAATTGGTTGATATAGACTAGGTCACTAAGACTTCTGATAGTTATCGTCTGATTCAAACGGGCGTCTGGGTGACCAACGGAAAAGGTATTGATATGGAATGAAATAAAATGGGGTTTTACGTCCTACTGTTCTGCCCCGACTGGGCTAATGGGGACAAGCATATGCTATACAGTGTGCAATCAGAGAAATTTTGCCCGGACAGCGGCACTATGGCCTACTCTGATATCGGATTCCAACTGCCAAGGGATCTTTTACGTGCACGCCAATGTATACACGGGACCTCGGTGTTTTGTCTCACCCGAACGACTAGACAGCTGTCCTTGTCAGGCCCTCCGCCCTGCACCACTAACAAGGGGAAAACAACGTCGGAAAATCCCGATGAACACACACAAGGTACCCCATAACGTTTGTATACTTTATATGTATGTCATATCTTATCAGTCACGGGTTTAGGTATACCATACGTCACTACAGGTAATATTGTATTCCATTATTTCTAGTGACATATCATCTCTGTGTAAACTGGTAATAAATTTTAAGATTTGATTTCTTGCCATTCACTTATAAACCTATATGATCTATGTGTAAGTCGACAATAACAGTTTACAATTCTGTTGTGCCATTCACTGATATACCTACCCTTTAGAAATTGATAAATAAAAGTTTGGCTGATTTGGCTTTGTTGTGCCAACAACGAATATACCCACCATTTGTTGTGCCATTCACGGATATATTTCTTGTTATTTACCTGTTGTTATTATTGTGTATTACAATCTATAACCGATACACCCGTTGTCTTAAAATAATGGATACACGAGGTGTCTTAAAGGGGTAATCTCGGATTTCATAGAATCTGAGCATTAACAGTCAGTGTACGTATGAAATATAGAGGAATTGTGTATTTACCTTGTCTGAAAAGTTCAGTTCAAAATATTGAGTCATTTGGACGTGAACGTCAACACCCCTTATCCGGACACGAGCATTTTTAAGAACTTCGGGTCAATCTTTTCGTTGGCCACTTGATAAGCGCGACTATTGTATACCTATTGTAAACTTAATGAATAAAGACCTTTGACTCACTCAGTTTGTTGGTGGTAACTTGAGAAAAGAAATCTGATTGGATGTATATTTTTACACAGCCAATCGCTATAGTTTACCCATACATCCGCCTAAAATGTGAGTCTTTCGGGTAGGTGTTTTATAGTTCAAATGCTATCGAAGGAATTCTTGAACGAAAAATGGTCATCTCATGTAAAAATATACATGGACGGATCTCAAGATCCAAACACAACCCAAACTGCATTATCAAAAAGGCTACCAGATGATGCAGAATTAAAGGCAATGTCCACAGCTCATGAGTGGCTTGTGTCATCCACCGTTCAAAGAGCAGTCATTGTGTCAGACTCCCTTTGCAGCATAAAGTCATATATACATGACAAAACAACACCTAGTCCAGAAATTGTTCAGAATATTCGAACAAGTTTTTGTTCCCTCAAAAACATATGTAACAGGTATTACCTGATTCTTCAGAATATTCGAACAAGTTTTTGTTCCCTCAAAAACATATGTAACAGGTATTACCTGATTCTTGTCAAATATAAAACCTTCACCTGTGAAATTCAAAATTGTTTTTAAATAAATTGTATATGAATATTGAATTAATTTTGTTAAAGAAAACCAAGTGTAAGAATTAATTCTATTGACGTCATAGTTTATATAATACAGTATCACGTGTCTGAATTGGAAATGATATGAACGTCCTACTTTCTGCTGCGACAGGGCTAATGAAAGTGGACTATGTGCTATGGGGGAAACTCTGCCCGGACAGCGGCGCTACGGCCTACTTTTATTTCGAATTCCAACTGTCAAGGAATCTTTCCCGTGCACACCAATGTGTATACGGGACCACGTTTTCTTCGTGCCATCCGAACGACTATACGTTGTCCCTTCGCAGCCCCCCCCACCCGCCCTACATCGCTGACATGGCGGGTGGCAACCACGCCTCAAAATCCTGATGAACGTTCTCGAATAACACCCATATTGAACACGGTACCTATAATGCGCACGCGTTAAACCGATCAGCCACCTACCCCCAGTGTGTCTGAAAGGTAAAAGAAGAGAGGGTTGTATTTCGATAAAAATAAATTAAACAAAATCATGTCCTCTACCACCCACCCACATATGTCACTGTGGCGTGGTGTCGATTCCCTGCGTGTACGTCACAAGGAGTAGCATCGTCTATCCAATCTCTGGGTTCTCCGATGTCCCCACATTGCTTAAGATTCCTACGCCCAAGCGAATCTATGAAATAAAAAAATTGAGCCAGAATATGTTAGTCCCATAATGGTCTAGTTTGTGACGAGTGAACGTTAAACCCCATTTCTCTCCCTCATATAAAATGGAATGAAAAGGGGTTTAACGTTTTACCCCAACCAAACCTCTATAAAACTTGAACATGATCTGTGTCTAATATATTTATAACTTGAATCTTGAAGCATAACGGAAAATGTTGTGAAAACAGACGAGTAACACAATGGGAACCTACCATCCTTCCCGCTAGGGAACTAATAAAAGGTTAAGTCGGTGAAAAAAGTTAAATATTCTAAATGTTTTTATTAATTAGAAGTAACAATACTGCAACTATAAAAGTGAATAAACACTTGTACAATATAATTATGGATTACATTCACTTACAGGAAAAGTAACGACATGGTATTAAAATGAATTACCCCTGTTTGAAAGTTAATTTTAGGTCATATATTTCGAAATGAAACATTATTAACATATTATTAACATAGTGATTTTGGAATAAGGGCCCTCCTCTCTATTAACATATCCTTAACTTGGTGTTAAAATTCCATGCATACTTCTGCTCTGTATTGGTTTCAAAGCATATCTCCCTCCCTCAAAGGACCTTGAACAAATTTCAAACTAACAACTGATCTACCAAAATCGTTCACTTTCAACACGATTAACAAGGCAAGGTCAATACCTCGAATGGTTTAAAGCAATCTGATGAAAATACAGATCTATATTTCGTTTTTTTATACTTTCGATGGCCTCTACTACATGAAAATCTGACCGGTTATATACCTTATGACCTCAGAATTTGATAAACCAATCGGCGTTTACGTTTCTAGTGGGTTACCCACAGTTCCGTGCACCTCACGCCAAAAACTCGCCGTAACAGACCGTTTCATTGTCTAATCATTCACATCATCCAGAAAGCGGGTTATATATCAACTCTTCCAGATCCTGGTGTAGTAAAGACAAGTAAAACGAAATTTTGAACTATAAAAAACGAAATGAAATAGGATCTGTATTTTAATCAGATTGGGTTCAAAGTGACTGGGAATCGCATTACATGTTAATCAAAACAACATGTGCCTCCTTTCTGAAAACATACAACAATAAGTACGGTAGATCATTTCTGACAGTATACAACAATAAAAGAAGTATGGTAGATCATTTCTGACAGCATACAATAACAGTAGATACTAATTTTAGTTGATAAAAAATAGCTAGGTTTATCCAATTACCAACAGTAGAATTTAATCAACAGCTATAATTATCAAGTTATCAACAGTAGCTTGTAACCAATAGCTATGATTATCAAGTCATTAACAGTAGATCCTCACCAATAGCCTTGATCATCCAGTTAACAACAGTACAATTTAGTCAATAACTATGATTATCTAGTCGCCAATAGTACACTATACCCGATAGTTATGATTATCTAGTTAACAAAGGGAATATAATAAAATACAATAGAATATAATTACGATTATAAAAAGTCTTTGTAAGTTATTACTTCGGAATCATCTTCTTTGCGTATAAAAGTAACATCATCTTTATCATGATCATCGTTTACCTTAATAATCTTTGTCATCTTCATCGTTTATCTCAAGAGTAAAATATTTCTCGGGTATCATGTCCTTCATGATGACATAATCTTGTAGTAATTGCGGTAAACCAAGTTGAGTTATTTTACTGCTGATTCCTGATCCGATACAGTTTCTAATTGTTCTTCTACATCTTGACTGCAAACTTCTTGATTTCCAGAAATCACGGATGGCATGTGTTTGCTTTTTAAATAGGCCTAGGGAGTGTCTGTTATTTAAAAACGACGTCTTAATGATAGCCCATATTTCACGTAATGGTGCACCACTCTCAAAAAGAATTTTGGAAAGCATCAATGTATCTGGAAATTTGAATTTATCTTTGAACCTATGAAGACCCAAGCCTTTGAGAGAACAATTTTCTGTAACGAGATACCATATAAGATCTGCTTCGTGTTTGTCCAGTAACCATTTAAATAAAGTTTCTCCGTTTTTGCCTGGAGCATCTAGAGACCCATAACATTTATTGATTAAAAGTAATTTTAGACAATTGATCCATTTGCGACCGCGACCATCAAATATACTACTATTCATTACACCAGGTATGACGGAGTTTTTATCTGGATCAGTTATATTAGTATCAGCTCCAGCCCCCAGTAAACACTGTAAAACAGATCTATTACATTCTAGTGCTGCTTGCATCAAAGCCGTCCTTCCATCGTTATCACACAGATTAATATCAGATCCAGCCTCTAGTAAACATTGTAAAACTGGTATATTATATGCTCGTGCCGCTGCCATGAAAGCCGCCCTTCCATTGTTATCACATAGATTAACATTAGCCCCAGCCTTCAGCAATATCTCTGTAACTGATCGGCCGTTTACATTATCAGCGGATTTGTGTAACGCTGTCGCTCCTTGCAGATTTTGATGATTAACATCACCACCCTTTGATGTCAGCAATGTCACCAATTCTATGTTATTGGTTCTGGCGGCAAGACCAAGGGGTATATCGCCATGTTCGTCTTCCGTGTTGATATGGATGCCGTTTTCAATAAGGAATAGAGTTGTTCTAATATCTTCACAGCCGACTGCTTTGTTCAATAGAACCACGCCCCTTTTGTGAATATCAGCCCCTTTATTTATCAACATCTGAACAGTATCTGGTGCAAGGGGGGCGTGACAAGTGTACCAATGATATGGATATTCCAAGACACACTTTCCTGTGTTATCTTGAGCGTTCACATCTGCGCCGTTGTCTATAAGTAATTTAGCTAAGCCTACACTATGTCCGTATTGCAAGCATTTCAATAATGGTGTAAGACCGTTTTTATCAGCGATATTAATATCAACGCCAGCCTTTTTTAGTATTTCAGTAATAGCTGTATCTCCCCTTCTTATTGATATTGATAACATGTGTGACTGGTAATCATCTACTTTGATATTGACATCACAATGTGCACTAATTAAGGACTTCACCATTCCTTCATTACCGTTTTCAACTGCTAAATAAAGTGGAGTTTCGTTAGATGAATTGAGCTGATTTATGTCCACACCTTGAGCCATTAATAGTTTAAGGCATTCATCATATGAATCTGATTCTAACTTTGCTCCACTACTTGCAAGACAATGGAGAAGGCTAGTAGGAGGATGAATACTATAATGTCTTAGTATGTTAATATTTCTTTGTGTAATGGCAATGCTAGCTCCCCTTTGTGCTAAATATGTGACCGTTGTGACCATACCATTTGCCGCAGCCAAGTAGATGGGTGTTTCACCATCTTTATCTTTATTAAGGTCCGCCCCTGCCTCCACCAATAATTTAACACAATCAAGAACTTTGTCTGGCTCCCTATGACGAATGCTACCATGAATACAACAGTGTAGGGCACGAGTTTCAACATGCTTTAATTGTCGATTACTGGTAGGTGTACTGTTAATATTTGGGTTAGATAACATTAAGATCTTATGTTCAAGAATATATTTTAACACCCCGGGTTTATTGTGTTCGAGGCACTTATAGATTGAATCTTTATCCAGAAGCCCTCCTTTAGACTGGAGTGCTTCGACACCCTCCCCGAAATCGCATTCTACTGCAGCCCTTATGAGTCGGTTATAGTCAAAACCACCATCTTGGGATAGCAACAATTTTACCATTGGCAGACATCTGTGTCTTAGAGCAGTTTCACAGTAGTCTGTCAATCCTATTGAAGATCTCCACGAATGTCTACAATTCTCATAAATTCTTTCTGCAGTAAATGTGTCATCATTCCGGACAGCCTCGCTTAACCTGAAATATAAAAAAACCCCAAACAATTAATGTTAAAGATACGTTGCCACAAGTTACGTGACGCCCGGAAATTTGCAGCTGATCAATCAAAGAGACTCCTAGCTGGTGCACGTGGCGGAGAGTCTGTAAAAGATCTCACAGGGCTACGTCGTTGGGCGTTCATTGGATATATTGTATCCACACACAACCGTATAAAACTAATAAATTTATGTGACAGGTACATCCTGGTTATGTATACCAATAATCATCTCACTGCATGTCATTTAATAGCTTCATATATAAGTGAAAGGAAATGAAATGGGGTTTTAACGTCCTTATTATATATTTATACTGTTCTGCTGTGACTGGGCTAATGAAGACGGGTATGCGCCATACAGTGTCCTATGCGAGAGAAATTTTGCCCGGAGAGCGGCGCTACTGCGTACTCTTATATTAAATTCCAACATCCATGCGATGTTTTACGTGCACGCCAATGTTTACACCGAAGCTTGGTTTTGCGTCCAATTCGAACGACAAGACAGCTGTCCTTGTCAGGCCCCCCTTCCTACACCACGCTTCATGTATAAACTTATAGTTATAATAGCTACATGTATAACAGAATATTCCATTTTTATTTAGCCCAGTCGGCGCAGAACAATAGGACGTTAAACCCCATTTCATTTCTTTATAACAGAGTAGCCGTAAACTTATATCACTCCTGATGGAGTTGGTATGCCGTATCATCACCATATTATAGGTATATCTTAAGTTATAGATATAATATCTACATGTATAATAAAATAGGTACATCTAGTATAATATTATAGGTATTTGTCTAAAGTTATAGATATAATATCTACATGTATAATAAAATAGGTACATGTCTAAAGTTATACACATAATACCTACTTGTATAATAAAATAGCCGTAAATTTCTTACACTCCTATTAGAATTGGTTTGCCGTGTCGTCATCATATAATAGGTACACTCTAACGTTATATAGTCTGGGAGCCCACTGAGATTTAATACATATTTTACCCCTAGATCATTTTGGAAAGGCAAGTTTTAAGTTTTGTAATCTTTGCGACCCCCAACACTAAGAAATAGAATGCATGGATTAAGAGAATAACATTTTGTACTAATGCTTCTTTAGAGCTTTAATCTTAATTAATTAGCACTAATTAGTGACCGTTATTAAAAGCTATAGTCCATAACAGAAACAATGCCCAAACGCCAGCTAACCAAGTCGGGAAACCAAAAATATCATTTAAAAGTAACAAAAGCTGAACAAACTTTGCTAAAGGCTGGTTCAAAAGTTTTATTAACCAATTCGGCTAATAAAAACCCATTCCCGACGTATTCCCTATTAGTAATTCCGTGAATAACGAATAGCTCGTTGTTCTTTATTAGCCAGTATGAAACAGCTCGTTGTTCGGGTAGATGGACAGGCTCATAAAAACACACTCCCGTCGTATTTCCTATCATAGTGCCTTTATTATAGTCCATATCTGGTGAATAACGAACAACAAAATAACTCGTTGTTCGTTATTCGCCAATATGAAAAAGCTCGTTGTTCGGGTAGAAAGACAGCTTGTTGGAGTCCATGTCCCAAGACTTTGAAGTGTTATCAACCAATTAGGCTCTTAAAAAACACACTCCCGGGTAATTCCCTATAAAAGTGCCTATATTATATTACTAATTCCATATCTGGTGTATAACGATAAGCAAACTAGCTCGTTGTTCTCGAATACCGAACAACAAACTGGCTCGTTGTTCGCCAATACTGAACAACGAACCACAAGCTTTCTTCACGTCGCTAAATGTTTGTTATTCGCGAATACAGAACAACGAACAATTACGGTCACTAGGCCTAATTAGTGCTATTCAATTAACTCTTAAGTAGCATTAGCACAACATTTTATGCTCTTAAACCATGCATTATGTTCCTTAGTGTTATGTATGAAAAGTTTGCAAGAAATCTGTAAATGGAAATTGAATTTTAACTCTAATCAAATATGCACAGGTTACAAAAATTAAGACTTGCCTTTGCCAAATTGTCTAGGGGTAAAATATGTGTTATAGGCTTCATCCTTTTCATTAAATATCCCCGGGCTCCCCGGTTAACGTGTATAATAGAATAGCTGTAAACTACTTACATCACTGCATGTTATATAATAGGTACATGTATAAAGTTATAGATACAATGAGTACATGTAAAATAGAATAGCTGTTAACTACTTACCGCTTATGGGGGAAGTAGGGTTCGCGAGCCATTTCAAACAGATTATCCTCAAACAAGCATACGATGTGAATTTGTCAAAATACTCAGTGACAAAATATTTAGTGGCAAATGGTTTAGTACGCCACTAAGTAATCATACACACTCAAATTGAATACATTCTATTCATAATTAAAGTATGTCTTCTAATTTCTAAGAAACACGTCAATATTCTTAGAATATAAAGCGAAAGTAAAAATACAATATTGACTGGGGTAAGACTACTAATTATTTTCCCACGTCAATGTTTATTTCATGGCATATCTTAGCCCGTATCGTTTTAAAACATTCCATGTATTCCAATAGTTACTATAAGCTGATCATTAAAGGACAATATTGGTGCCAGTCATTAGAACATATGTGATAGAGAGAGAGAGAAATGGGGTTTAACGTCCACTCGACACAACTAGGTCATTTCGGGACTAACATATGGTTTAATTTTATTTCAATAATTCGCTTGCGCATATAGTGGTCTTTAGCAGTGGGAGGAAACCGGAGGACCCGGAGACAACCCACGAGGTTGGACAGGCGACCCTACTCCTTGTCACGTACAACCGGGGATTCATATGTGATAGAACTGATTAAACATGTTCCAAATATTATTTTATCACAGAGATCATTGCTACGATAGATGAGTAATGAATGTTTCAACAATGGGAAGTGACGAACGCAAAAGGAAAACACGAGTTATCCCTCAATATAACTGACTGAAGTGACGGGTGATAACAGATTTATGGGCGAATTTCTGCTCACTAAAAATCCTTCGAAGACCAAAAGTTGTTATATGAGACTGTAAGAGTATATCTGACAATTCAAAAAAGTAACTGAATGTCATTAGATAAGAGCTCACGAGAAAAATAGAAACAGGCCGTACATTCACGGGTGTTTATTCATTCTATACTTATAAAAACATGGTAATGCACGGACTTTTTCTGTATTTCTTTCACGTTCTCTTATCTAGTGACAGTCAATTTTGTTTATGAATTGTCAGATATCCTTTCACAGTCTCACACAACAACTTTTGGTCTTCGAAGGAATTATTAGTGAGCAGAAATTCGCCCATGTATCTGTTAGCACTCGTCACTTCAGCCAGTTATATAGAAGGATAACTCGTGTTTTCCTTTTGCGTTCGTCACTTCCGATTGTTGAAACATTGATTACGCATCTATCGTAGCAATGATGTCTGTGATAAAATAATATTTGGAACATGTTTAACCAGTTCTATCACATATGTGATAATGACTGGCACCAATATTGTCCTTTAAGATCATTAAGGAGGGTTGGTCGACTCTTGTCTACTGTGCGACGTCTAAAACCAGTTGTTGAAATATTATTTTTCATGCATGCCAAGATGCCTCCTGATCCTTCCTTTTGGCTAAAAATATAAAATAATTCAAACTGGATCAAAGGATAAAAAAAGATCGACTACGTCTAGATGATCTCCCGGGGTTACCAGTCATCTTCATTCACCTCCATCAAGTTTCACTCATAATTCCAAGAACACACCGATCTGACCATTAGATGAGAGAGAGAGAGAGAGAGAGAGAGAGAGAGAGAGAAAGAGGTGGGGTAAAACTATAATGTTTTATTAATGGAAACATCGATTATAATGTATTATCGTAGTCCCATATTTCAATAACAGCTTTCAACTATAAAACTTAAAAAATAGACACTGGAAAAAAAGGTTAAAACATTCACACAATGATGCGTAGTTGGTTGATGTAGGCTAGATCACTAAGACTTCTTATAGTAACCGTCAGTCAAAAGAACGTCTTGTTGAACAGAACTTGGTTGGCAAATTGACAACAACACAACACAAAAGGTAACCCACATAAGGTGTGTATGCTTTATATGTATATCATACATTTGTGAACAGTAACAATAGGATATATCCTACGTCACTAAACGTAATGTTGTTATTCCATTAGACTGCACCATGTATATTGTGACGCTTTATTATCTCGGTAAAATCTCTTTATAACTGGTTAATAAAAGTTTAGTCATTTTCTCGCTTTGTTCTGTCATTCACTGATATACCCACCCTTTAGAAATGATAACGTCAATTAGATCATACCTTATTCCTAGAAACTCGGAATACAGGGATGAAATATCTTATTCACGGACACACGAAATACAGGTATTGTAGACACGTATTCAGGTCCCACAATGAGACATGGGAAACGCCATACAGTGTGCTATGAGGGTAATTCTGACCGGCGAATGGCACCACGGCCTATTCTTATATCGAATTCCAAATGCCAAGGGAAATTAAATGAAATGAAATGGGGTTTAACGTCCTACTGTTCTGCTCCTAACCTGGGCTAATGAAGACGGGCATACGCCATACAGTGTGCTATGAGGGAAATTTTGCCCGGACAGCGGCAAGACGGTCTACTCTTATATCGAATTCCAACTGCCAAGGGATCTTTTACGTGCACGCCAATGTGTACACGGGACCTCGGTTTTTCGTCCCATCCGAACGACTAGACAGCTGTCCTTGTCAGGTCCTCCGTCCTGCATCACTGACAAGGGTAAACCACACCGAAAAATCGGGAAGAACTTTCTCGGCCAATGCATGGATCGAACACCCGACCTCCAAAATGCCAAGGGATCTTTTAAGTGCACGCCAATATGTACACTGTACCTCAGTGTTTCGCGACCTCCGAAGGACCATACATTGTCCATTGCCAAGTCCTCAGTCCCACACCACTGACAAGCCGGAACCACGATAACCTTACTTGGCCAACACCGGAAACAAGCACGAGGCCTGTAATGCGCATGCGTTAAACCGTTCGCCCCCCCCCCCCCCGCCGTGTATCTGAAGGAAGACAAGGTTGTATTTTGATAAAAATAAATAAAAAAGAATGACCTCTACACCCACTCTGATCTGTCATTTAGTCATGCAAGGTTCCCATGTCTTACAGTCAGTAACAGATACACGGGGTGTCTTACCAATACATGCCGTGTCTTACTAGACTTACAGTCAGTAACATAACTGGTGTCTTACAGTAACAGATGCGTCTTATCAATAGATACATGATCATGGTGTCTTACAGATAGACATGCCAAGGTTTGGGGCGTTTGGAAAAGTTGAACGACAAATTTTCTTTCAGCAAAAGAGTTCCACAGGATATTGGACTTTTCAAAAATTTCTACATAAACCCCCTTATATCCTTCAAAAATGTCTACATAAACTCCCTTATATCCTTGGAACCACATTCCACAAGAATTTCAGGTTCCATAAGATATTGGTCATAGAAAAAGACCGCTTTATGTCCTTGTGTGCTACCACATTCCACAAGATTTTCGACTTGGAATAATTTTCATAGTGTTTTAGTCTGTGTTGTTTTACTACAAGAGTTCCACTAGTTATTGGACATATAAAAAGACCGCCTTATATTTTCAACTTAAAACTATACGCACAAAGCGGTATATGCTGCGTCTCGTACGGCCAATAAATGAAATAGAGTTTAACGTCTTACTTTTCTGGTCTTTCTGGGCTAATGGTGGCAGCGGCATTACGGCCTCCACTTGTTTCAAATTTCAAATGGCAATTACGCCAATGTGTATGTGTCCCACACGAACGACTGGATGGTGACAACCCCACCCCACCCCACCCCCAGCGTGCCCATGCTTTAAGATAGTTCTACCGCTAAGCTGTAAATATATTCGACCTAAGCCTCTGCTCTGTTCTGCTTTCAAAAGCTTCAGATGTAAAAACATAACCTTCCTCTTGATTGACTAACATTCTGGTAATGCACTAATGAAAACATGACGTTTGTGACGTTATTAATTTACAGAATGACGAGGACTGTTCTGCTCCAAACTGAGCTAATGAAGACGGATAGACTACAGTATAGGTATGACCAGTTTATATCATATTATATGTGTACAGGTCCAATAGACCAGGTATGACCAGTTTATATCATATTATATGTGTACAGGTACAATAGACCAGGTATGACCTACTTTATGTCCTACCTTTTATATATGTATATATATATAATACAATATCATACGCGTATGTACACGGGACCACGCTTTTGCGTACCCCTGTTGGAACGACTATGCGTTGTCGGCTACCAAACTCCGTGTGTCTGAAAGAAAGAAATAAAATAAACAAGTTGCCTGTATAGCGTCGCCTGTCTAACATCGTGTTTTTTCTCCGGGTCCTCCAGTGTCCCCCACTGCTAAAAACCCCTTCTCGCAAGCGAATTCTTGAAATGAAATATAAGGGCCATCTTTTAGTCCTCTGCTGACCTAGTTTGTGTCTATTTCTCCCCCCCCCCATCCCATCCCATCCCACGATAATCAACAACCAACTCGTATGAAATGGAATGAAACGTGGTTTAACGTTCTACTCCAACCAAACACCTAGAAAACCTCAATCTGACCTATATCTATACCAATATTTGTGACTGCCGTTTGTCTGTCTGCCTGTCTGTCAGTCTTTTGAGGGTTGGCGGCTACAGTAAGGTTGGCGGCTACACTAAGGCTGTCCCGAAGCAGAAATTTGATGTATAGGGGTAACCCGGACCAGCGAGTAAGATAGGCCTGGTGGCAACGACCAGGCGCTTCCTGTTTCGGAGTTGTGACCACAACCCGGGCACAACCAGTGCAGCCATTGGTCATTCGATATATTTATGAACGACTATCACAATGGGAAGCTATCATCCTATCCGCTAGGAAACTAATGAAAAAAAAGTCGAGTCGATGATAAAAGTTACATTTTCGGTATTTATTTATTAGAAGTATAAATACAGCAACTACGAAATTGAATGAAAACTTGTACAACATAATACTTATGGATTGCTTTTAAATCTACGCTAATGATTCAACTGCAACATGATTACAGGATTTCCTAGGCAAGGACAATAACTCGAACAGTTCGCATTACATATGTCCGCTTTCGGACAGCATACTACAATACAGCATACGGTAAATGTTAACGATTACATCCCACTTCTACCTCGTTGCCAGTGGCAAACTTTGATAAAACTGTCCTATCTATTTCCAATACAGGCATAAAAGTATCCGTGTATCAGAAATGAACAGTACGCTTTCCAGAAAGACTACTGTTCATTTCCGACAAACAAACACTAAACGCCTAGAAAGTCATAAATTTTAATACAAATAAATTTCAACTGACGAACCATCCGCCGATGCACACTTCATCATGATTGAACCACGTTGTGCAGTGTCCTTTACATTACGTTTAATATAATTGCAGTCATCTACGCCAGGGACCAGTTGTTTTGACGATGTGGTTGGCTCTATGTTCACCGGCTTCGTCAAAACAACTTCGTCGTTCAATACGGAGTGCAGTCTAAAAAATAAACCGGACTATTTTACGCTCAGGGTAACGCAGCAAAACGCACGTGTAAATACTACTCAGGTCGTTTCTCCACTGCGAAATCAGTCTACCACGAAATGTAACGTGAGGCACAGAAAAGGATAAATGAAAGAACAGAAAGTATTTGTCACATTTCGCTTGACACGACTCGATAATAAATACAATTTTTCACAATTCACTTCACAATAGTCGATAGACATGTGATGTAAGTGACTTATTAGCTCCTTTCCTCGGTGTATCGGTGAAGATCAGGACAGTCTGATCTTCACCGCTACACCTCGGAAAGTGTGCTAATAGCTACTACGTATTCAGTTGGCAATAAAAGCTATGGTTATCCAGTAGATTGTAGCCTATAGCTGTGATTATCTAGTTAACATACAACAAAATAAAATAAAATAAATACGATTATACGCTCAGTCTAAATAAATGCCTCTATCGTTTAGATGTTTGCGTAAAAGATCATGGGGATCATTTTGATCATCGTCATCTTCATCGTTTATCACAAGAGTAAAATATTCCTCGGGTATCAAATCCTTCATGATGACATAATCTTCTAGGTGTTTTAGTAAACCAACTTGAGTTATTTTACGTCTGATTGATGATCCGATACACTTCCTGATTTCTCTTCTACATCTTGACTCCAAACTTCTCGATTTACAAAAATCACGGAAGTCATTCAGTTGTTGTTTGATAACGTCTGATCTTCCCGGCACGAGGTCATCTGAACTCGATCCCCGAAATAAATACTCTAATAAAGGCTTTGATGCACCACTTTCGAAAAGAATTTTGGAAAGCATCAATGTATCGGAAAATTGACATTTCATTTGGAACACAAATACAGCCGGATCTGTAAGTGAACAGTTTTCTGTAACGAGATACCATAAAATATCTATTTCCTTTTTGTATACTAACGATTCAAATAATGTTTCTCCATCTGTATTTCGAGTATCCAGAGACCGGTGACAGTTATTGATCAAAAGTAATTTTAGACAGTTGACCCATGCCCGACCGCGACCTTGATGATAATAAATTCTATTACCTAGCATAACGTTATGTAAGACAGAGTTTCCATCTCTATCCATTTTATTAACATCAGCTCCAGCCTCCAGTAAACATTGTAAAACAGATCTGTTACACGTTAATGCTGCTTGCATCAACGCCGTCCTTCCATTATTATCGCACAGATTAACATTAGCCCCAGACTTCAACAAGATCTCTGTAACTAATCGCCCGTCACTACGATTAAAGAGAGTTTGTATTTTTTCCCATTTATTAACATCAGGCGTAATCTTCAGCATCAGCTCAATTCCTGATCGGGCTTCAAGCCGATTCAAATCTCTAAATCCATGTGAAGCAGATTTGTGTAAGGCTGTCTCTCCTTGGTGGTTTTGGTGATTTATATCACAATCCTTTGATATCAGCAATGTCACCAATTCTCTGTCATTGTTTCCGGCGGCAAGCGCAATGGGTTTATCTCCAATGTTATCTTCCGTCTTGATATCGATGCCGTTGTCAATAAGTAAAACTGTCGTTCTTTTATCTCCACGACCAACTGCTTTGTTCAACAGAATACCACCCCTTTTGTGAATATCAGCCCCGGCCTCTATCAACGTATGAACAACTACTGATGACAATAGGCCATAACAGACCGAATCAAATGGATATTCCAAGACACACCTTCCTTGGTTATCTTGAGCGTTCACATTTGCCATGTAGCAATTTATAAGTAGTGTAGCTAAGCGGTGCTTTCCGTATTTCAAGCATTCCATTAAAGGTGTAACGCCGTTTTTATCTGTGATGTTTATGTCACAGCCAGCGTCAATCAGTATGTCAGCAATAGTTATATTTTCGATTGCTGTTGATAAGATGGGTTGGAAGTCCGCACCTACCTTCATATTGACATCACAATGTGCAGTAATTAAGGACTTCACCATTCCTTCATTAAGATTTACAACTGCTAAAGACAGTGGGGTTTCGTTAGATGAATTGAGTTGATTTATATCCACACCTTTCCTCATTAATAGTTGAAGACATTCATCATATGAATCCGATTCTAACTTTGCTTTACTCTTTGCAAGACAATGAAGAAGGTTAGTATGATGTTGTTTAATGTCGAGACTAGCCCCTTTTTGTGCCAAATAAGTTACCGTTGTTACCATACCATGTTCAGCTGCCAGTTGGACAGGGGTTTTACCATTACTGTCTTCCAGATTAAGGTGAGACCCTGCTTCCACCATTAATTTGACACACTCAAGAACAATGTCCCGCGTCCTTTCATCAGTATCATGTAGACGTGTCATGGACTGTTCAATAAAAGTTTTTATTAGTTCACTGTTCAATAAATACACCAAACTTTCCTCCATTGGTTTCTCGCTAGATAACATAAATAATGTCTCCTCTGTGTTAGGTTTTGTATCTGAATATTTCAGGTCAAGAAGATATTTTAAGACCTCGGGCTTATTGTTTTTGATGCAGTCAATGAAGACGCTCCAGTTGTTAGTTGCTCGAGATTTTGAATAATAAAGAGGCACTCCTTTAGAGTGGAGGAATTGGACACCCTCCATGAAATCAGATTTTACTGCAGCCCTCATCAGTTGTTCATGAAAGTAGTTGAAAAGAAAATCGCTTGCATCTCTGGATAGCAATAATTTTACCATTGGTAGACATTTCTTTCTTAGAGCTGCTTGACAGTGCTCTATACTTATCAGCTGTCGTTCACTGTAGCTGTCCTCTGATGACACAAACTCTTGTAAAATTCTTTCTGCTGCGACTGTGTCATTATTCCCGACAGTCAAGAATAATCTGAAATAAAATAAACTCATATTCCATATAAGGGTAACAGATTGACAGCTGATCAACCAAGGAGACTCGTACCAGGTCCTCAGTCTGTAACATATAGTATCCACACACAACGGCATAAAAGGCATGAATATATGTCACAGGTGGACTGTGGTTATGTATACCAATAATCACCCCACTGCGTGCTAGCCTGAAGGTCGGGTGTTCGATCCCTGCATTGGCTGAGAAAGTTCATCCAGATTTCCCGGCGTGGTTTCCCCTTGTCAGTGATGCAAGACGGAGGGCCTGACAAGGACAGCTGTCTAGTCGTTCGGATGGGACGAACTTTCTCGGCCAATGCAGGGATCGAACACCCGACCTCCAGGCTAGCGAGCCAGCGTCTTACCCACTTAGCCACGTGATCCCCTGGCGTGCACGTAAAAGATCCCTTGACAGTTGGAATTCAATATAAGAGTAGGCCGTAGTGCCGCTGTCCGGGCAAAATTTCCCTTATGACGTATGCCCGTCTTCATTAGCCCAGTTCGGAGCAGAACAGTAGGACGTTAAACCCCATTTCATTCCATTTCATTTCATATAATAGGGGCATGCCATATAAAGTGATAGATACAATAGCTACATGTATAATAATCACCTCACTAATGTCATATAAAGGGTATATGTCTACAGTTATAGATATAACAGCTACACGTAGAATAGAATAGCTGTACATTACTTACTCCTCTTGGAGTCGGTTTGCTGTATGATCATCCATTCAAAACAGATTATTCTTAAACAACCAGACGATATGAATTTGTCAAAAAAATTTAGTGACAAAATATTATTTAGTGACAACCTGTTCACTTAGAATCATCTAACCAAACACAGTTATATTGTTTACAGCGAATCTTGGTTAGCACATCACTTAGTAACGAACGTATCAATAGTCTCTTATAACCATACACATCTAGATTGAAGAATGTCACATGTCTGGATAAACGGGTAAAATTTTTATTAATTATTCTAATTTCAAAGAAACGAGTCAATATTCTTTGAATTAAAGTGAAAAGACGATATTGACTGAAACAGCCTTTCTTTAGTAACGAACATATCAACAGTGTCGTCATGGACCGTATATATGGCAACAGATCACTAATTATTTCCCCACTGACTTTAATGTTTATTCTCGTATCTTAGACCGGCGCTAACTTTTTCCCAAATTTTCGTTGGGTAGAACGCTTTCTACCACAGATGGGGCAACATGTGGCAACCTCTTGCCCAAAAGCACGTATGAGGTTCACTATGGAAAACTTGAGATACACAAGCTGGAAGTAGAGACAAGTAAACATGCAATTTTTAACCCGATATTTTAAAAATACTGGTTAATCTATTTATGTAATAGGCTATTTTAATATAGATTATTCAGCCACTGTACCACTCACTGGTCAGTTGATGACCTAATGCTGCCCTTGATACTTGGTATAATCTATTTGTTGGTGTTACAAACTGTCATGCTCCGAAAAAGCAAAAAACAGTAAAACGATACCATCAACCCAAGGAAATAAAACAAATCCAGATTTCTCCAAGACTACATTAAAGACTGATTTCAAATACAATATTCGAAAGACATTCACAGACAAGTAAATCCCCTTCTCCGTCTTCATTAGCCCAGTCAGAGCGGAACAATAGGATGTTAAACCCCATTTCATTTCATGTCATAGCAAATCCCTTTATTCTGCATGTCTTTTATGGAACAATCTACCTTTTGATGTGAACATATATCATATTCTGTATTGAAGGAACAATAAATTCACTTTTTAATGTAAAAATATGTCATATTTAGTGCTAAAGGAACCACAAATTTATTTTCAGCTGATGTCAAACTTATCTTATTTTGTTTATGATTGGGTTTTTTTTCTCTCATCCAATTAATTTTCATGTATATTTTAATTGCTACTGAATTTTTATAAATGATTTTATTCTTCCTCTATATTAAATGTATATATGTTTTATAGTTTGGGAGGAACTTATTAACCCAAACTTCTCACTTATTTTATTTTAAATGATTTTGTTTATAAATGTTTGCATTTATCCCTGATATTTCATGTACTGTATATATGTTTTGTAGCTTAGGAAGGACTTGTGGAAGATTAGTTGTTACAAACTAAATAAGTTGCCTCATTGTATGAAGTTTTTATACTATTCAAAAAAAGTAGGGGATATTTGATTTTGGGGGCATAATACTAAAATATGCAAATGACTACGAAAAAAGTCACTATAGAACCTAACAGAAGAAACATTTCCAGTTACACGTGACGCCCAAACGCACCAATAGCTACCGCATGGAATGCAGGTGATGCTTGGGATCATCATGGGGTTCCAACCCAAGATTTGCAAGACTCTGACTTTGAATGTTACAGTCATTGTGGCATTGAATTCCAGGGTGGAAACAGCAGTTTAATTGTTTTAGTGACCAGAAAACAAATTTTGATATGCGTCGGCTTACCAAAAATGAAAGGTTACGTGCCCTTGGCATGCTACAGATCGGCACAACACAGGCGGTTGTGGCGCGGACGATGAATGTTTCTCAGTCTGTCATAAGCAGGCTATGGTCCAGATACCGTGATACACAATCTGTACAGGACAGACCACGCTCAGGTCGACCAAGGCCGACAACTCAAGCCCAGGATCGATTTATCCGTACCTTGGCCTTGAGAAATCGTGTCATCACAGCAAATCAGATCAGCGCTCGTCTTCAAACAGACACTGGTCACCTTCGCGCCCGACGTCCTCGCGTGATCCCTTGTTTGAGAGATCATCACATTCAGGCAAGACGTCGTTGGTGTAGGGATCGTCAACACTGGGATAATCGACGCTGGAGCAATGTGATGTTTTCAGATGAGTCAAGGTTCACTGTTGATTTTTTGGACAGGCGTAGGAGGGTGTGGCGTCGTCGAAACGAGCGCTTCCAAGACGTTAACGTCATCAGACATGATCGATTTGGGGGTGGTTCTGTTATGGTGTGGGGAGGCATCACTGTTGCTGGAAGAACGGCTTTACATGTTGTTGCAGGGCGTGTTACAGGCCAGTACTACCGGGACAACATCTTGGCAGTCCATGTTGTGCCGTTCGCACGACGTCATGGCCGCCGTTTCATCTTCCAGGATGACAACGCAAGATGTCACAGGGCCAGGATCGTTACAGGTTACCTCCAACAACAGAACATCACCACATTACCATGGCCAGCACTGAGTCCCGACCTCTCCCCCATCGAGCATGTCTGGGACATGCTTGGACAGAGGTTACGTCAACGTCAACAACGCCCTGCCAATGTCCAAGAACTTGCTGCTGCGTTGCAACAGGAATGGGACAATCTGGACCAAAATGACCTTAGACGTCTCATTAGGAGTATGCCACGTCGGATCAATGCTTGTTTGGCAAACAGAGGAGGATTAACCCGTTACTGACTTGGTTGTGATGCTGTGGTAACTTTGCTGTTTGACCCCGGGTATCATTTTACCCTTATAATGGTCAGTCTGTGCCTTACTTAGTCTAACGATCATTTGGAATAAATCGATGAATGTGAACTTCATTTCATTTTGTCATTTGTTTCTTCGTCAGTTTCATTAGGTGACTTTAATAACACTTAAAAATCAAATATCCCCTACTTTTTTTGAATAGTATATAATAGGTACATGTATAAAGTTATAGATACAATGAGTACATGTAAAATAGAATAGCTGTTAACTACTTACCGCTTATGGGGGCAGTAGGGTTCGCGAGCCATTTCAAACAGATTATCCTTAAACAAGCATACGATGTGAATTTGTCAAAATATTCAGTGACAAAATATTTAGTGGCAAATGGTTTAGTACGCCACTAAGTAATCATACACACGCAAATTGAATACATTCTATTCATAATTAAAGTATGTCTTCTAATTTCTAAGAAACATGTCAATATTCTTAGAATATAAAGCGAAAGTAAAAATACAATATTGACTGGGGTAAGACTACTAATTATTTTCCCACGTCAATGTTTATTTCATGGCATATCTTAGCCCGTATCGTTTTAAAACATTCCATGTATTCCAATATTTACTATAAGCTGATCATTAAAGGACAATATTGGTGCCAGTCATTAGAACATATGTGATAGAGAGAGAGAGAGAAATGGGGTTTAACGTCCACTCGACACAACTAGGTCATTTCGGGACTAACATATGGTTTAATTTTATTTCAATAATTCGCTTGACTGAAGTGACGGGTGATAACAGATTTATGGGCGAATTTCTGCTCACTAAAAATTCCTTCGAAGACCAAAAGTTGTTATATGAGACTGTAAGAGTATATCTGACAATTCAAAAAAGTAACTGAATGTCATTAGATAAGAGCACACGAGAAAAATAGAAACAGGCCGTACATTCACGGTTGTTTATTCATTCTATACTTATAAAAACATGGTAATGCACGGACTTTTTCTGTATTTCTTTCACGTTCTCTTATCTAGTGACAGTCAATTTTGTTTATGAATTGTCAGATATCCTTTCATAGTCTCACACAACAACTTTTGGTCTTCGAAGGAATTATTAGTGAGCAGAAATTCGCCCATGTATCTGTTAGCACTCGTCACTTCAGCCAGTTATATAGAAGGATAACTCGTGTTTTCCTTTTGCGTTCGTCACTTCCGATTGTTGAAAGATTGATTACGCATCTATCGTAGCAATGATGTCTGTGATAAAATAATATTTGGAACATGTTTAACCAGTTCTATCACAGATGTGATAATGACTGGCACCAATATTGTCCTTTAAGATCATTAAGGAGGGTTGGTCGACTCTTGTCTACTGTGCGACGTCTAAAACCAGTTGTTGAAATATTATTTTTCATGCATGCCAAGATGCCTCCTGATCCTTCCTTCTGGCTAAAAATATAAAATAATTCAAACTGGATCAAAGGATAAAGAAAGATCGACTACGTCTAGATGATCTCCCGGGGTTACCAGTCATCTTCATTCACCTCCATCAAGTTTCACTCATAATTCCGGTAACACACCGATCTGACCATTAGATGAGAGAGAGCGAGAGAGAGAGAGAGGTGGGGTAAAACTATAATGTTTTATTAATGGAAACATCGATTATAATGTATTATCGTAGTCCCATATTTCAATAACAGCTTTCAACTATAAAACTTAAAAAATAGACACTGGAAAAAAAGATTAAAACATTCACACAATGATGCGTAGTTGGTTGATGTAGGCTAGATCACTAAGACTTCTTATAGTAACCGTCAGTCAAAAGAACGTCTTGTTGAACAGAACAGAACACAACACAAAAGGTAACCCACATAAGGTGTGTATGCTTTATATGTATATCATACATTTGTGAACAGTAACAATAGGATATATCCTACGTCACTAAACGTAATGTTGTTATTCCATTAGACTGCACCATGTATATTGTGACGCTTTATTATCTCGGTAAAATCTCTTTATAACTGGTTAATAAAAGTTTAGTCATTTTCTCGCTTTGTTCTGTCATTCACTGATATACCCACCCTTTAGAAATGATAACGTCAATTAGATCATACCTTATTCCTAGAAACTCGGAATACAGGGATGAAATATCTTATTCACGGACACACGAAATACAGGTATTGTAGACACGTATTCAGGTCCCACAATGAGACATGGGAAACGCCATACAGTGTGCTATGAGGGTAATTCTGACCGGCGAATGGCACCACGGCCTATTCTTATATCGAATTCCAAATGCCAAGGGAAATTAAATGAAATGAAATGGGGTTTAACGTCCTACTGTTCTGCTCCTAACCTGGGCTAATGAAGACGGGCATACGCCATACAGTGTGCTATGAGGGAAAT